GGCCAAGGGCGAGCCGGCCGGCGCCACGTGGGCTACGCCCGGAGGTCCCTTCCCGAGCTCGGCTGGGGACGTGGCCCAGGGTCTCGGCCTCACTGTGGACTCAGGTAAGTGGTCGGGGAAGTCCTGCCTGCTCATGACCCTCCTGTCTTATAGCTTTACACAATGCAGAAAGACTCTTTGCTGTCCTTTGCAACTTCTGAGGCCCAAGGGTCTTAATAGTGTTGTTTTTCTGCAAATAGATATCCCGCTGTTATCTGTGTGCGTGGGCTGAGAAGCCCGACCTGGCTGCTAAATATTAACGAAGGGATTTTTTTAAAAAAATACCTATTTTGGTGGAAAGGTTGTAGCACTGTTCAATCCTCTAGCCTTTTGGCTATTCAGTACTTGGATCATAGAGACCGAATTGAGATGTACCAATAAGTGTACACGCATTGCATTGCAGAAACTGTACATACCTCCAAAAAAGGTTGCTGTTCATTAATATTTACAAGGCATTTCCATAGAGAAATATATTCATTATATTGCATGTTGAATGAATGACGTTAAATGAAAAATTATTTTTCCTCCCAGTGTAACATCTAGAAAAACTGGAATTATATCTATGGCTCCCAGTACATTTCTGTTGGGCATTGCCCACCTAGAATACTTGTTCGAAGGGTAGTTTAAAATCGTGAGGGAGGGAGCAATGTCTTATCACCTCATGATTATTACAAGGAAATAAAAAGATATTCTGATTTCAACTTAATTGTAATTTAAAGAGGTCTTCTAAGAATGTAAAATTTACAAAGAATATTATTTTAAAGATAACACATCTCTAGCTTAAAGAGTTGAGTTAGATGCATTGAAAACAGATTTGCTTTTTAACTTTAATTTTAGAACAAATGAGGGGGAGTTTTAAACCAAATGCAATCCTTGACTTAGAGCCTCAAGTGAAGATTTGACAAGTCTGTTTGCTTTTACTTTCACTTACCACCACCCCCTTTAAGATGAATTCTGTGACTTTGACAAGGTAACAGTGGTATTTATATTTCTCTTTCCTTAAATATGTATGCCTTTCCTCCCCCATCTTTCTCTCTCTCTCCCCTTCTCCCTTTCTCTTCTTTCTTGTCTTTCTCTCTCTTATTTTCTGTTTTCAGGTATGCAGCCTCAGGACAAAAGCAAGGATCTGTACTGGTTTTAGACAGCCCGCCTTCTCCCCTGTAGGTCTCCGCATAGTGGGATTGATGACACTCAGAGCTGACATGGAGTTGGTTTGTAACCACAGCTTCTGATCTTGGTTTGCAGCTCGTCGTTATTCGCTCTGTGGTGCATCCCTCCTGAGCTGATCCAGCTGACGCACAGTTTCCCTTGCCCTTTCCCTTCTGACCAGCGCGGAGGCTCATCACCTGTGCCTCTCACTTCATGGATGAGGATACATACAGGGAAAGGCAGAGA